ATAAATAAATAAATAAATAAATAAATAAATAAATAAATAAATAAATAAATAAATAAATAAAAACAAGGGAGGAAGGTAGAGAGAAAGAAATACGAGTAGATCCAATCCATCATTGTGATATCCAAGTCTCTCCTTAGATAAAACAGACATAAAACATCTACTTTACAAGCCTCAGATGACCTTCAAGACAGCTGAGTACAGTATCTATGGATTTTTAAGTATAATTAACAACTCCTGTTTTTCCATTTAAAGAACCGGAGTTCTGTTTCCTTGACAGGCAAAAGCCAATCCATCCTGTTTTCAAAAGCTAATACAAGCAATTACAAATAACGTTAATTAAAATACTACAGGAGCTGTTAGATTTTGGGTGGTGGAGATTTTTTTCTTCACCTAAACTCATGACGATTCTAATTTGCAGGACGAATTGAGGAAGCACCCTTGGTTTGATCCGTTTTGGGGACAAAAAGCTGGCCGTTGAAACCCAGCCGAGAGGTTCAGAAAGCCCCTGCTCTGTGAGGAACCCCTGGCACGCTGCAGCAACGATGCTTATTTCACCTGGTAGACCAAATGTGACAGATCATTTTATTTACAGCGTGAATATTAATTTTCTGGTTTTGGTAGCGAAAATACAGTGCTCATTTGTATTGTTGTAAAACTTGTAAATATGCCCTGTAGGATAAATAATATTCAAAACAACATCCTAATTAAAAGGAAAACTCAGTTGTCTTGCAAGATAATATAAGGAGGGCACATAAATTGTAAATAAGATACATGGTAAAAATGAAAAAGCCTGGATAGGAGAGGAATGAAGTAAGATTTAGAAATGTGCTTTTTAAATGAACACAAATTGCAAGATAATGTCTCATTGAATGATAAAAATAACAAAACAGTGGCAAAGATGTAACAGAATTTCCTATGTACACCATTTTAATCTTAATATAATTTTCCCCAGTGCACCCACATTTATTGAACTACTACAACCATTTCTTTCTCACTCTGTCCAAAGTTACCAAGACAGTATTCTTTGCTGTAAATAATTCCCTGATTATGAACATGAAAACGATCTAGAAATTGATCACACTGTTTTTTAAAAATGACATAGTGTTGCTCAGGGCCAAAGGCCTCATGAGAATGGCAAAGTATGGGTAGCTTCCTCAGAGAAACAGAATGAGAACACAGAAAAACACTTCCCCACTTCCTCCTCCATAAGGCAACCCCACACCTTTGTTGTTCTTGTTTTTTTTTTTTCCTTTATCCAAAAAAAGGGGAAAAGACTTCTATGGCACCTGGGCCTACAGTGTGCTGGACAGACCACAGAGCTGATGCCGAAGAAGTTCTGGATTTGGCAGACAAGATAATATGACTTGAGGAAAATCCACATCAGTGCATCCTCAGTTTCTCAATCTGCAAAATGGGGGTGATAATATTTACCTCTTAGCTTCAAGCATGATACACAAATGAATGTTGAGTAAATACTACTCAAATATGGAGGTGAGGGTCCAAATTAGATATATGTAAAAGGTTTGCTAATGTGGACACATTACATCCAGAAGAAGCCCTCCATCTACTACTGACCCCAACTGAGGAAGCTCAGTAAAATGTTCAACTCCAATCCAAGCCCATATATATCTCAGACATGCGTAGATGTCTTACACTCACATAGGTCATTCAATCCATGTATATATTTCCTAGGTGTCATCAATGTTCTTATAGATCCTAAACTTTAAAAAAATACCCCAAAGTTTCCTCAAACAGTTGAAAATAGAGCTACCATACGATCCAGCAATTGCACTACTGGGTATTTACCACAAAGATACAAATGTAGGGATCCGAAGGGGTACGTGCACCCCAATGTTTATAGCAGCAATGTCCACAATAGCCAAACTGTGGAAAGAGCCAAGATGTCCATCGACAGATGAATGGATAAAGAAGAGGTGGTATAGATACACAATGGAATATTATGCAGCCATAAAAAGGAATGAGATCTTGCCATTTGCAACGACATGGATGGAACTGGAGGGTGTTATGCTGAGTGAAATAAGTCAATCAGAGAAAGACATGTATCATATGACCTCGCTGATATGAGGAATTCTTAATCTCAGGAAACAAACTGAGTGTTGCTGGAGTGGTGGGGGGTGGGAGGGATTGGATGGCTGGGTGATAGACATTGGGGAGGGTATGTGCTATGGTGAACGCTGTGAATTGTACAAGACTGTTGAATCACAGATCTGTACTTCTGAAACAAATAATGCAATATATGTTAAGAAAAAAAAAAGAAGAAGATAGCAGGAGGGGAAGAATGAAGGGGAGTAAGTCGGAGGGGGAGACGAACCATTAGAGACGATGGACTCTGAAAAACAAACAGGGTTCTAGAGGGGAGGGGGATGGGGGGATGGGTTAGCCTGGTGATGGGTATTAAGGAGGGCACATTCTGCGTGGAGCACTGGGTGTTATGCACAAACAATGAATCATGGAACACTACATCAAAAGCTAATGATGTAATGTATGGTGATTAACATAACAATAAAAAATTAAAAAAAACTGATAAACCTCTAGCTAGACTTATCAAGAAAAAAGAGGACTCAAATAAAAAAAAATACCCCAAAGTAGAGACTATGTCCTGCTTATTATTTTGCCTTTCATTGGTGTCACTCTGGAGTAAGAATTCTGTTTCTGCTAAACAACCACTCAAATACTTTTTCTTCCATTCACAGTTTAATTTGTTTTATTAATTTATTATTTTTCAAAAATAATTCATCAGGCAAGAGAAAGACATACTTGTTCGTGCATAAAGAAAATGTGCCAAATTCATCAACAAATCCATTTTATTAAATGTGTCATCAATTAATCCCTTTGTTGAATAGAATGCATAACTATATGTGACTAACTTTTAATTTTGATTTTTTTATACTAAACAGTAGAAGAATTTTGGACCACATGAAAATGGATCCACAAAGCAAACAATAGCTGACATAACCAGAAAAACTAGGCTTACAAACAAGTATTCTTATAATACATGGTCCTGCTGTTAGGGCTGCAAACTATGAGCATACTATCTTTGTAAATTTTGCATTATTTTTTTCTAGAAAAATTCTAAGGATTTAAATTGAAGTTTTCAAGTCTATCTGATTTCTTAATATAAAAATTAGTTTCAGTGGTTTTCTATTCTTTTTTTTTTAAAGCCTCGTTGATCCAAATGCAAATAGAGTAAAGGCCATCATTAAATATATCCCTAGGCATTCCATATTCAGACTTCATAATCACGGATCAGCTGGTAGGAGATGATTACAAAGGCAATTTGAGATTGTCTAAAGGATCACCAAAGCAGATTTCTTTTCCAAAACCGGGGGCCTCTTCTCCAAGAGACATGGGCCAGCCATCTTTTATGGATGTTCTTCTAGGCCATTGTTTTGGATGATCTTGGCATACTCCTTGGCTGATGTGTAAGGCACTCGAGGTCTAGAAGGATCCTCAAAATCAACATGGAAGAGACCAAACCGGCTGCTATACCCTTGGATCCACTCAAAGTTATCCAGAAGAGACCATGCACAATATATTTTGCAATTGACTTTATCAAGCTGGATAGCTAATAAAAGAAAAAAAATGAGAGAAAAGAAAAGAAAAAAAAGGAGGAAAATTATCATCTCTGGGAAGTTTTTCTGTGAACATACAAAAACTGCTGACAACTAGTTGGGTATCTTTCTCTTACAGAGAATCACAGAAAAAAAACTTGCAATGCTCTTTTCCAATTTTCTCTTTTAATCAAGTAGGAGTTCCATTCAAGAACTTAACTTACATATCATTCTAATTATTTGATTATTCATTCATTTTGATATAGGTTTTATTCATCCATTCATTTACTCAATAAATATCTTTTTCAATCTACTACTTTTCAGACACAAAGAAATACACATACACACAGTTTCTCCCTAGTACCTAGAATTATATTCATTAAAGACCCTGCTCAGCTCTCACTCTCCAGAGATGACATGATACTCTATGTGGAAAACCTAAAAGACTCCACCCAAAAATTGCTACAACTCATATAGGAATTCAGCAACGTGGCAGGATATAAAATCAATGCACAGAAATCAGTTATATTATATACACTAACAATGAGACAGAAGAAAGAAAAATTAAGGTATCTATCCCATTTACAATTGCCTCAAAAATCATAAGATACCTAGGAATAAACCTCATCAAAGAGGAAAAGCACCTGTACTCTGAAAACTATAGAACACTTATGAAAGAAATTGAGGAAGACACAAAGAGATGGAAAAACATTCCATGCTCATGAATTGAGAGAACAGATATTGTTAAACAGTCTATGTTACCTGGAGCAATCTATACATTCAATGCAATCCCTATCAAAATACCATCAACTTTTTTTACAGAGCTGGAACAAATAATCCTAATATTTGTATGAAAAGACCCCAAATAGCCATAGGAATGTTGAAAAAGAAAACCAAAGCTGGTGGCATCACAATTCAGATTTCAAGCTATATTATAAAGCTGTAATCATCAAGACAGTATGGTACTGGCACAAAAACAGACACATAGATCAAAGGAACAGAATAGAGACCCCAGAAATGGACCCTCAACTCTATGGTCAACTACCCTTTGACCTCACAGGAAAGAATATCCAATGGAAAAAAAGTCTCTTTAACAAATGGTGTTGGGAAAACTGGACAGCCACATGCAGAAGAATGAAACTGGACCATTTTTTTTGCACCATACAAAAAAAGAAACTCAAAATAGATAAAGACCTAAATGTGAGACAGGAATCCATCAAAATCCTAGAGGAGAACACAGGCAGCAACCTCTGTGACCTCGGCTGCAGCAACTTCTTGCTAGACACGTCTCCAAAGGCAAGGGAGACAAAAGAAAAATGAACTTTTGCTACTTCATTAAGATAATAAGCTTTTGCGCAGCAAAGGAACAGTCTACAAAACCAAACGACAACCTACAGAAATGGAGAAGATATTTGTAAATGTCTTATCAGATAAAGGGCTAGTATCCAAGATCTACAAAGAACTTATCAAACTCCACACCCAAAAAACAAATAATCCAGTCAAGAAATGGGCAGAAAACATGAACAGACATTTCTCCAAAGAAGACATACAAATGGCCAACAGACGTATAGAAAAATGCTCAGCATCACTCAGCATCAGGGAAGTACAAATCAAAACCACAAAGGGTACCACCTCACACCAGTCAGAATGGCTAAAATTAACAAGTCAGGAAACAACAAATGTTGACCAGGATGCGGAGAAAGGGGAACTCTCTTACACTGCTGGTGGGAATGCAAGCTGGTGCAGCCACTCTGGAAAACAGTGTGGAGTTTCCTCGAAAAGTGAAAACTAGAGCTACCCTATGACCCAGCAATTACACTACTGGGTATTTACCCCAAAGATACAGATGTAGTGAAAAGAAGGGGCACATGCACCCCAATATTCATAGCAGCAACATCCACAATAGCCAAACTATAGAAAGAGCCCAGATGTACATTGACAGATGAATGGATAAAGATGTGGTATATACCTACACACACACAAACACACACACACACACACACACACACACGCATGCACACACTAGAATATTACTCAGCCATCAAAAAAATGAAATCTCACCATTTGCAATGACGTGGTGGAACTAGAGGATATTGTGCTAAGAGAAATAAATCAATCAGAGAAAGACAATTATATGATTTCACTCATATGTGGAATTTAAGAAACAAAACAGAGGATCATAAGAGAAGGGAGGGAAAAATAAGACAAAAGCAGAGAGGGAGACAAACCATGAGACTCTTAACTATAGGGAACAAACTGAGGGTTGCTGGAGGGGGAATGGGTGGGGGCTGGGGTAACTGTGTATTGGGCATTAAGGAGGACACATGATGTAATGAGCACTGGGTGCTATATGCAATGGATGAATCACTGAACTATACCTCTGAAATTTATATTACACTGTATGTTAAGTAACTGAATTTAAATAAAATAAAATTTAAAAATAAATAAATAATAAAATATTCTTAAAAAAAGAAAAGAAAGAAAAGACATTGCTCAGCTTCTAAGTGCAACCTCCAGATAATCCGGAAAGTCCACTAGTAAGTAAATTGAAAGAGGTGGTAATACTAAGGCTGAGGCAGCTCCAGCTATTACCTTGTGTCCCTATGACCAACCTGAGCAATGTATTATAATTCTGGAAATAGGACCCTAAAGTGAAAGGATCAACATACAGCTCTGGTTGTACATATATCTTAGAGTAGGCACAAAATATTATGGCATCCCCTCTGCCCAACATCTAAACTCAGAGTGGCATTTAAACCCTTGAAGAGCCAAAGCAATGGGCCATCTCTCCCCCAAATACACATAGGCACATACACAATATTCTATATGATTTCATTTGTGGATACCCCAAAGCCTATCCATGGACTGCTATAGTAAGATGTCAAAATGTGGAGAATTTTCTAAGTAGTTTTACACTGATTTCCATCATGTTAGTCAGGGAATTTAACTCATCTTTTAGTATTTTAAGCATTTTAATAAATATTATTTTAGCATTAATATTTAGTAATTAGTATTTTAATTTAATATTTCAAGTATGGCAAAAAACAAAACAAAACTCGGGCTTGCATGAATTGTTGCATTGAGCATTTCTTTTAAAACCAGAACAAGTAAATTCTACATATGGGATACACTAATATCTATTTCCCAATGCAGAAACTAAATAAAAAGACATGTTTCCTTTACAAGATAGACATATTCCTAAATAAATTGGGTGAAAATGAACATTCATATGATATACTAAATTTTAACAATATTAGGGATCATTCTCAACCACAATGACTCTTGTATCATTAGCAAAGCAAGATCTACTCTACTTTTTTCATTGTAAATCTGTTATTTTGGGGGTCTTTTAGAGGAACTATAACAATAAACTATGACATATGTGTACATTCTGAATCATCTTGGAATTTTTTTTTCTTTTTTTTTGACTATGGATACTCCATAGACAAAAGATTCCTGAGCAGTTAATTGATACCTAATCCCTCTGCCTTTGTGCATGGAGGCATGCAAAGTACTATACTTAGTGCCTTATGAATGGCCTTGAGGCAGGAATTAAGCCAAGCTAGACTGGCTCTTTTTAAATAAAGTATGGTTGGAAAATGAAATATATAACATTCAAGCACATCAAGTTTTGCAGGAATTAAAACCTGTATAGATACTCCTTCTTCTACTTGTCCACATTGCCATTTGTGTCTCCTCCCCTCTCTGTCAACCACAAGTGCAAAATACCAATTTTTAAAAATAATTTTATAACTAACTTAAGTTCTGCATGGCATATATCTAAGAATTAAAATAACCAAAACCAAGTACCAGGTCAGAAAATAGCCATCTCCTTTGACTGCCTTAGCATTCAGTCTGGGGACATGGGAGAATCTGCATAGTTTTTTTCTCATTTGCAGAACTACTGCCCAACATGAAAGCCTGCTGGGTAGAAAGCTAGACAGCTTCTGCAAACACGCACAGTCCCACGGAACATGCACAAAGGATTGATTCATATGCTCAACCAGGGGATAAAAACGATCCCTTGCCTGCTTGCAAGGGAACAAAAGGGAAATGCTGACAAGTTCATTGATAACTGCCAGGAGTTCAGCAGCAGGTACTAAAGTGCCCCAGTGATCCTGGTGGGTGTCTCTGTGTTTTCATTGCAGGACCATTCAAATAGAGAATTACGTGGTTAGGGCTGAGGAGCTGGACTGCTGGACTCCTTCTCGTTGTGCTACCACCGGGAAAAATGACAAAACTGTGCTAGAGCCTGCATGCCTCTCCTCTTCCAATCTCAAGAACAAAGAGACCATCATCACATTTCTTTTCAGTGTGATTTATGAGGTCCCAAATCTGAGAAGGGAAAAAATCACTTCTGTGAGTTCTCTTTCTTTCTTGAATCAGAGTTTGCAGGCAAAGTAAACACAGACTGGCAGGGACTATGGATGGGTACAAAACACACTGGGATAAAAATGACAAACATACAGAGCCAGAGTTTGGTTTTGGACTCAAAGGCCAGTGGAAAAGGCCTCACAGTCAGCAGTTTTCATATAAAGATGCAAGGAGAAAAATGTCTAAGCCTTGCTAATATATCAAAGTCTCAGGCTGTTCTAATTAGAAGAACCCTGTGCCAGTGTCCATTTAGTCCAAACTAAATGGACACACACACACACACACACACACACACACACACACACACACCCCACACACACACTGCTCAATTTTATCCAAACTGAGAAGGTTGAGGGAGTAGTCTTTCATCAGACCACCCTCATTTCTGACAAAACTACAAGTTCAAGGGGTTCCCCAAACCACCCTCAGTTTCAATAATTTCCTAGAAGAACTGACAGAACTCTCTGAAACCTGTTATACTCATAGTTGTGGTTTATTATGGCAAGGGATACAAGTTAACATCAGCCAAAGGAAGAGATGGATAGGTCAGCGACAGAGGGGCTCCAAACATGAAGCTTCAATCATCCCCTCCCCTAGGAGTCCTGGGATGGACATGTGACAATGCACAGAGCACTGTCAA